AAAAAAACTGGCCACCAAGAGTTTAGGCGGCTAGAATGAAATTTGAAAAAAAAAGGCAGAACAGAAGTTTTGAGTAAAAAAAAAGGCAGGATGAGCAACTTGGCAAAAAAAAAGGCAGGATGACAAATTATGTATAAAAAATCAGGATAAACTAATTAATTTTTTTTCATGTGGGTTCATGAATTTCGAGAATTTATACCATATAAATATCCGAAAACTTTATTAAACTTTAATACCAATAACATTATTATATTTTAATAATTGCAAGGACGTATAAAACGTCCTTGATAAAAGCAGTCAATATAATACTTCCACGATAAAAGTAAGGAGAAGGAACCCAGGGTGAACATACTCTATGGGGACGAACTCAGGGCGAACGGACCAAGGGCGAACATGTAATCAGGGCGAACCGACCCAATACCAAATTCATGCATGCGTACTATAAAGTCTACTTTAAAGACATCCGGTTACAAGTAAACAAATAACGTGCATGTAAGATGAGATGAAATCTAATAATTTACATAAATAAAAGGGTTGATATTAATACATTAAAACATGAGAAATTATAACACTAACGATAGTGATCGTTTTTCAAGCATAACTAATAAATTAAATGATGCAGATGCTTAGATCATGTGTAAACATCGGTGTCAAGATATGGCACGGAAGTTGTTATGAAATTGTAAAGCACAGAAAGGGATATGGCATACGTCCTGGTGACAGTTCAATGATTTTACAGCCGGCAGTAAAGGCTTTCATGTTTCAAATTTACTTTAGCGTAGTAAAGCAGAGACATATATACACATGTGTATATATGTCTCTGAGTAAAGTCACATACTGCATGCATGCTATGTTAGTCCTTGACATGTACATGGTTTATTTCAGTTTGAAAATCCTTTGCAACTAAACTTCACTCTTACATTCTAAATGGACAAGATAACACATTTTCCTATAAAATCATATCAAACCAGTTACATTTAACTACTTTTTCAAGAAAATTTATCTGTTGATGTATATAAAACCACGCTCCAATAACTGTCCTGCATCTTTGCTACATAGGTTTGGAGGGCTTTACAATTTCTAGAACAACTGAAGAAGGGTCCTTTCTGGCCCAAAATTTGAAGTCAGTTATTTCCAGATGAAAGTATTTCAAGCTCAACATGATGTGTGAGAAAGATAAATGGGAAGATTTTTGTCAAGTTTTTCTTACAAAACTTTTCCATTTTTAACAAAGATTTTTGTGAAAGTTTACAAAATCCTCTTGATTTCAACAACAATTAGGCTTAGGAAACATAGAGTGCATCATGTGAGACAGTTCATTAGTTTTAAAAAAAAAAAGCATAATGTTAAAAAAAATTGTTGTTGACATATATGCCCTGTACATTTCTAATCCAAAAACCTAAGGGAATGTGCATGTATTCATTAAATTTGCAGGAAACAACATTTTTGGTTATTATGATATTTTCAAACAAGAGTATCTGTTTCCTATCTAGAAATTGGCAGCACTTGATACATTGTGATAACGGTCTTTTAATCCTTATTTGAAAAATAAGCTAGAAATAAGGGCCTTATCAAACATATTCCTTTAAAACCCAGCTCTGAAAAATATTACATCCAACAAATTCTAGTGGTTTGCCAATTAATAAGTTGATCAGGTTTTGGTATATTATGCCTCAAAACATCACCTAGTAACAGCTGTATTGTCACAAGAAAGCATCATGCCAAGGCCACATGAATTTATTTGTTTATTCATCTGGCTAAGGCCACACTAAGTTAATTTGTTGCTTATGGGATTTTTTTTCTGCTAAAATTAGAAACAAAATGAACCATTTCTATTTTCAACATTCTATATAAACAAATAGTTCATGAGAAGTCTAAAATATGAAGAGATTTAAGGAAACAATACATATAAATTGTTTAATCTGTTTGATTGAAATAAACACAAGCTTTTATTGAATGATAGATTGAAAATTTACCCTAATGTATCTCCTGTTTTCTACCTAAAAACTGATTATTTTTCTACATAAACTGCCAAAATAACAGCAATACCACCAACCATTTATGAAAATATAGAAAAGAAAAAAAAAAAATTAAGTAGACATTTAGTCATGACAAATCGGAAAATTAATCTTAGTTGTCATTCAAAATAAATTTGGCAAATAATATAAATGTGTTCTGTAAAATAACTAACGAGAAAATTAAAAATGCTTGATTCAGTTTAAGAGAAAACTGAAAAGTTAATGGAAACTTAATGAAACTGCAGAATATTTAGATCTGTTCAATTGATGATAATACAACTTCAGTGCAATGCTTTCCAGTGTTTGGCAATGGGGCCTACACATTTTAACAATTTTTGTGTCAGTGAAGGCAAGAAAACAAATGAATTAAGAGTTAATATGGAAATTAAACAATAATTAAAATAAAAAAACATTAAAATAAAAGTGATCATAAGCATGATAAATGCCTGTTGTCACTATCAAAAGTTTTCTTGGGTAAAATTTTTTGGATTTTTTTAGTGACAACTGTCAAAGAAAACTTTGATCAAAATCTTTGACAGACTTGGGTGCAATAGAATCTCATCCTATCTTTTTAAGAACTTGGATGGACTGGGACAGGAATTATCCAATCACACTGGGACAGGAATTATCCAATCACAGTGTAGTGTTTTCTTTGACCAAGTTTTTGATGATAAACTTAGATAGTGACAACAGATGACTTGGACCAAGTACCTGTTCAAAGAAAACTTTGACCAAGTTTGATAGTGACAACCAGGCTTAAATGTAGCTTAGTATCTGGTGTTAATTTATGGGAGATAAAATGGCTTAAGTCAATTTGAAGTAATTTGGCTATGCACTTTAGTGTATTCTGGTTCTTTAAATTTCAATAAAGTAGTCTTCTTCTCCTAATCCTATGGAACTATTCAATAAACTACCAAATTGTTCTTGTATAATAAAACAAAAAACTAAATCTGCTTGGACACTGTAGTAAGGTATGTTCAATTTCTGTAATGCTTTGCAATTTCTTTTAAACTTTCAAAAATAATTTTACATGTGTATTTATTATTAAGATCCATCTACTGTGAACTCTGGTTTTCTTAAGTGAAACTAACCTAAATAAAACAGTTCCTTTGTGACTTAGAAGAAATACCATTAAACATTTATAACTCTAGCAAATAGAATAATGTCATATTGGAAAACAAATTTACATGAAATTATAGGATTCTGATCATATAGATATAAACATTCTAAAAGATGGAATATTTCTATAGATAATGGTTCAGTTAACACATTTATCAATAGGCTCAATACTGTGTATATATGTTTTGATCTTAAAGTAGCCATAGTCCATAATGAGCAAGGGTGTGAAAACATCGAAATTCTTCACTTGTCCAAGGAAAGGTACTTTACAAAAATATAATTCCCCAGAATTTTATCTGATTTGTCCCTACTGGAACAATTTTACTTGTCAAGGAGATTTTTAGACAAGTTGGACAATTCGGGAATAGTATTTTGTGCTGATAATTTATTGAAATTCAAATTACTTCAAAATGTAATTAGAACATAATGATTAAAACTATGACAGGTAGTGATGACAAACATACAATACTTCTAAGAGATATATTATTAGTTACACAGTCTGCTAGTGACCTAATATGATATATATGGGGTCAGCAAACCCCATATATATCTTATTAGGTCACTGTCACATGACACTGTGTAACAAATTTATCTTACTGACTATCTGATCATGTGGCATTTAGACTACTGTGGATTCATTTATTTTCGTGGATACCAATTTTAATGGATACATGAAATAACATATTTTCGTGGATATTTCATTTCGTGGTTTTACCAAAGAGTGCACACATGCCTAAAGAAAATTATACTTCGTTAAACATTTAAATTTGTTGCTCATCTGTACCCACGAAATCTACGTGATTGGTATCCCACGAAAAATAATGAATCCACAGTAGTGGCCTATTAAAGTGATCAAGTCTTCAATATTACTTCCATTGGTCTATACAAAATAAAATGCCAACAATAACAACTTGTTAGCTTTTTGAAATGTATTTTCTGCATTTATTTACCAATCGTTCATCATCAATTTCTTCATCTGGGCGAAACGTTTCAAATTTTTCCTCAACACCATGCTGTTTTTATAAAAGGACTTAACACCACTACTAACCATGTATTAAACAAACATGTACACTGACCCAATGTTAAATATGCAGGGTCTCCATGTTCTCTTTTAACCAATGATATTCCTAGAAGTGTATAATCTTCTATTCTTTTTTTATAAATTGTCCTCGACTTCTTAGGAAGGTTTTTTTCTTTCTTAACAAGTTTCTTTTACAATATTTCAAATAATTTGTTTTGAATTTAATTTGAACTAAAAAAAAAATAATATAATTTCAATTTTTAAGAATTAGCATATGAAGTTAATATTTGAAAATTGTGGTTTTGTTTTCTTAGGATATTCTTAAAAATTGATAAATATATCAAAAATTTATGATTCAAATGCATATCAGGGGTACTATAATAAAATAAAGATTAAATAAAAAAAAAATGAAAACATCATTTTCACCATTTCATATAACATTATTGTTGGCTCATAAATGTCTTTATTTAAATAACAGAAAAAATTCCATAGAACACTGGTATAGATCAATGTCTTCGATCTTAAAAAAGTATCATGCCATAGTTCTATCAATGGCATTCATAGATTTTTACCAATACCCTCTCAATATGCATTAGTCTGTCATAATATCATTTAAGGTGAATCATTGATTTCCTGTAGAATTTCTAATTTTCATCCTGATATTACATCTGCTATTAACAATTTACATAAATAAATAATCACAGAAAAAAAAACATTCTTTTTCTAATGGTTACAAAAAATAATGCATATTCTGAGAATTTTTCTTATGCAAAATGACAAAATCAAATTGAACTATTTATTTGTTGGTGCTTTGCAAAAGAGTAGCTTATTGTTTTACTTACATGTATTATATGGCATGGTTTTGGATATCAATAAAGGTATCCAGGAATTTGTACTGTAAGCCTGCAGGAAGCTGGCTGGATTATTCCATCTCCTAAAGAAAGGGAAAACAAGACAATAAGATCAATATTATATCCCATTGATTATTAGTTATTATGTAATGAGTAATTGTAAGGTAAAATTGATCTAATGTGTGATATAGAATTAATATAAACATAACAAGGAAAATAGTTTCAATCAATATTCTGAAATTTTGAAAAAATTTTCAAGCAATTTAGACACAAAAATTCTGTCATTTCCAATCAATACACGCAACATAAAATATTTCTGTTTATGTTTCAATTAACAAAATGCAGTTCTCCATTAACAAACACAAAATTTAACCAAATTGCTTAAACAAATAAAAAAACAAATGCTTTAACAAATAAATAAACAAAGTTTTAACTAATTAATAAACACTATTGAATACTAAAATTAAAATAGAGGCTCAAAAGACCCTGTGTCACTCAGGTGCATCATCAACAATGGCCTCTTTTCAGTAAGAATCATCATTTAAGGGAATAACTCTAATGAGAGTTAATTGAAGAGTTTAGTTGACATATTTGTAGATCTTATCCTGCTGATAATTTTTCCATTTTAAAGTTTCTATTTATCTATTATAGTTTTCAAGATAATAGTCAAAAAATGCAAAAAAATGGTAAAAATTATCATTAAAATAGCTCCAATAACGAGTTCACTTTAGATTTCTGCCATATTGGCTTATTTGTACATCTTGTCTTGCTGATAATTTTTGCTATTCAAAGTTTTAACTATTATAGATAAAAATGGGAAAAATAGTCATCAAAGGGCAATAACTTCAATAAGGAGTCGACTGATGATTTGGTTCAAGCAAACTTATTTGTAGAACTTGTCTTGCTTATCATTTTTGCTAATAAAGTTCTATTTATCTATTATAGTTGTGATATAGTTTCTATTTGTTATCATACCAAAATAGTTAAACGTCAACTGTTCATTTACTTTATATACAGGATTTCAGTTGGTTGCTATGAACAAAAACTGTTGCTAGGAAAAAATGATGTATAATATAATTTTCAGTAATATATTCCAATATGAGTCTATCAATATGATTTAATCTTAAAAAAACCTTATTTTTTCAATTTGAATCATAATTTTCTTTGGTTGCTATGGTAATAATTCTGTTGCTGAGAGGAAAAAATTGACATTTGACATTTGAAATTTACAATTTTTGTACAGAAAATGAATTTTTCATTCAGATTAGTCGTAGACAGTCCATTATCTCATTGTTTCCTCAGAAATAAATTGATATTAATAGATTCAAACCCAAAATTTAACCAATTTCATTATATTTGGGTATATCCGTTACCATGGCAACAATATTATAAAAAAAAATTGTTTGTAAATTTTAAAGCTCTGACTTAGATGTATAAATTTCAAATGTCTAACTGATCTGTTTAAGGTACAGTTAATAATTCATTAAAGAAAGCATATTTTCAACATTTTATTGAAAAATTCGTAAGGATTCCGCGGAACCCAGTGTCTCGCCTACTTTTGCTGTTAATCGCAGGCTCAACAAAAATGAGGAAAAAAAATCAATAAAAATACTCCTTTAGATAGTATCTTTTGATTGAAAGAAGCTTCTGTCAAAGTTTGGTATAAATCCAGGATAGTTTATGAATCTAATAAATGTTTTAAAAACTTTAACTGCAGACTGTATTTAATGTTAACTGGAAGAAAAACTAAGTCCATTTATAAGTAAAATACGGATAAACAGGTACAAATTTTAACAAAATTTCCTTCTAGATGCTAGCTTTTGATCATAAACAAGCTTCTGTCCAAATTTGGTACAAATCCAGGATAGTTTAAGAAAGCTATTAAAATTTTAAAAACTTTAACCAGAGTGAAAATATTGTTTCCTGGCAGAAAAACTAAGTCCATTTATAAGTAAAATACGGAAAAAATGAAATTTTTTTTTTAACAAATTTACTTCTGGATACTATCTTATGATCATAAACAAGCTTCTGTCCAAGTTTGGTAGAAATCCAGGATAGTTTAAGAAAGTTATTAAAATTTTAAAAACTTTAACCACAGAGTGAATGTATTGTTAACTGGCAGAAAAACTAAGTCCATTTATAAGTAAAATACGAAAAAAATGAAATTTTTTTTTTTAACAAATTTACTTCTGGATACTATCTTATGATCATAAACAAGCTTCTGTCCAAGTTTGGTACAAATCCAGGATAATTTAAGAAAGTTATTAAAATTTTAAAAACTTTAACCACAGAGTGAATGTAATGTTTCCTGGCAGAAAAACTAAGTCCATTTACAAATAAAATACGGAAAAACAGGAATTTTATTTTTACAAAATTTACTTCTGGATACTATCTTATGATCATAAACAAGCTTCTGTCCAAGTTTGGTAGAAATCCAGGATAGTTTAAGAAAGTTATTAAAATTTCAAAAACTTTAACCACAGAGTGAATATTTGTGGACGCCGCCGACGACGACGACGACGACGGAATGTAGGATCGCTATGTCTCGCTTTTTCGACTAAAGTCGAAGGCTCGACAAAAATCCTATGCAAATCAAGTATATAAAAAAAAAATCCATGGAGGAAAGGGTTAAGCCCTGTCAGATTTTCTCTATCTATAGCTTTTTTTAAGATAATAAAAAAAAAATTGTATTTTTTCCCTATGTTCTACTTATAGCCATGTCAGCCATGTTTGTCGGCAGGCAGGATTGCCTGACACATTTTTGTTGAGCCTTGATATTTATGTCGCAAAAGCGAGACATAGCCATCCTTGATTCATTAGTCATTGTCGGTGGCCTCAACATTAAGGTTCAGTCTGTGGTTAAAGTTTTTTTAGACATCAATAACTTTCTCAAACCTTCATGGATTTTTATGAAGTTTGGACAGAAGCTTGTTTAATGAACATAGAAACAGATGTAAAAAAATTCTTGCTTAGTTTACATGTATAAGTTTGTGATTAGGTCAGTTTATGGGGAACCATTAGTGGTAGGTCAATGATATTGGGTATGCAGTTGTATTAGCATTGGTACATCTCATTTCCATGGAGATTATTTGGCACTGCCACCCTCAGCTTTGTCTCTTGACTTTTGACACTTGCATAGTTTACATATATTAATTTGTGATAAGGTCAGTTTTTGGGGAACCACTAGTGGTAGGTCAGTGATATTTGGTATTCAGTTGTATTAGCAATGGCATACCTTCAGTCATGCTTCAATGACTTTGAATATTTTGCATAACTTGCATGTTAAAGTATTGCTATTTTAATTTCAACATTTGCATTTTACTATCAAAATAACAAAAAGGCGAGTCATATCTCTGTGTTAACAGTTTATTTTAGACTTATAATAACTTTGTCAAACCTTCATGGAATTTTAGGAAATTTGGACAGAAGCTTGTTTATGACCAAAATGCAGTATCCAGAGCAAAATTTTGAAAATATCTATTTTCATTTTTCCATTTTTTTACTGATAAATGGACTTTGAATAAAAGCCCTGTTCATTGATAATTTTTTATTTTTTATATGTATTGTGTCAGATTTTGTCCCATGTACATTTACTCCATATCCTTTCATTTTCTATTTAGGTTTTTTACAGTTAACATTCAGGCTCAGTCTGAGCTTAAAGTTTTTCAGTCATCAATAACTTTGTCGAACCTTCATGGAATTTTACGAAATTTGGACAGAAGCTTGTAAATGACCAAAATACTGTATCCAGAGAAAAATTTTGAAAATATTTATTTTCAATTTTCTGTATTTTACTGATAAATGAACTTAGTTTTTAATAGTTAACAAGTACATACAGTCTGGGGTTAAAGTTTGTCAAACATCAATTACTTTGTCAAAGCTTCATAGAATTTTATGAAACTTAGGCAGAAGCTTTTTTATGATTAAAGGATAAATGTCTGAAGCAAACTTTTGAAAATATATTTTTTTTTATTTTAAATATTTTTCTGATAGATGGACTTAGTTTTTTACAGTTAACATTTACAGACAGTCTGGGATTAAATTTTTTTGGCATGATAAATTTTTAAACCTTCATGGATTGTTATAAAACTTGGACAGAAGCTAATCTTCAAGACCAAAAAAATAGCATCTAAAGAAAAAGTTTGAATATTATTTTAAATTCTGTATTTTACTGATAAATGGGCTCGCTTTTTAATTCAACATTACACTTTTATACTGACAGCAGCAATCACAGGTGAGACACAGGGTTCCGCAGAAACCCTTGCAATTTTTTTTTAAACTCGATACTCCATTGATGATTGTGGCCAAGTTTGGATAAATTTGACCCAGTAGTTTCAGAGATGATATTTCTAAAAGTTAACGGACAACAACGACGAATGACAGATGCTAAGTGAAAGCAAAATTTCAAACTGGCCCTTTTATTATTGAGTTTCAAAATTTACACTACAGCTAATAAGTTTTTTCTAAAAAAAAAAGCCATCATTTTATTGAAATCAAACTTCTAACTTGTTTAATGTTGATTTCTCAAAAAGAAATAGTAAGAATAAGAAATGACAAGTAAACCAAACTTTAAAGTTTTGAAATACTTGTTTATAAATTTATAGATGTCCAATTTTTATACCCCAGTCATCCTTGGGGTGAGGAGAATTTGGAATTTGAAGAACAGTGTCTCGTCATAAAGAAAATGTCCAGACTGTAATATACTCTCAGAAACTGTCTAACTAATGAAAGTCAAAATATCCATAGTAAAATTGAACTATCAATTATATTTGGTTCTTTATTGAATGCTTTATTACAGTTGTTAAACTCAATTTCTAACGAATGGCATTTGCAGTCTCAATAGACTTACAGTAAATATTACCGCTCTTCATTCTGGTTGCCCCCTTAATTACTGGATTTATTGTTAATTAGTTCTTATCCTGAACATACATGATATATTTGCCACTGGATGTGTAATGACAGATGTATAATCTCCCATTGCATCTTTTTGTTGAAAAATGACATGTTTGCCAGTTACGTTGCTTTCACCGGGAAATTAAAAATTTTGACCTTATTGAAACAATAGCTTAGTAAGGTAGTCGTT